CCCCAAAACCCCAAAACCCCAAAACCCCAAAACCCCAAAACCCCTTTTGCTTCTCTTAGTTTAAATTAAAATATTTAAAAATGTCTAATACAAATGGAGACATAAAACAGAAGCAGCCGTCTCCAGACTGCAATGAGTGGAGCTTCAAGAACAATATAGGTGAGAGCAGTGTTCTTAATCCATAGTCTTAGCAATCGGAATTATTATTAAGGTAGCCTTGCTTGTATTAGGATACTCTGACCATGACGACAACAGCGGACAGCTCAAGTTTACAGATATTGATTACTTCGTATTTACAGATGCTGCAAAATATGTGTTAGAAGGAGGCTCACCCTATGACAGGATTACTTACAGATATACTCCCTTGATGGCTTATGTAGTAATTCCAAACCATCTTCTACATCCAATGTTTGGGAAGATATTATTCACAGCTTTAGAGATATTATGAATCATCTTGATTCGGAAAATTATCCAAAGTCAATTCAGTATGAGGTCCTGTGTTCCTTATCAGAATTACTTAGAAGCATGGATTTTGCTAAATCCACTTATCATAACTACATCTCCAAGAGGGAGTAATGACATCCTTGTTGCATTTGTAGTCTTAATGTTTATCTATTTGTTAATAAAAAGATGGTATATCTTGTCTGGTGCTCTCTTCGGACTTAGCGTACACCTCAAAATTTATCCAATAATCTATGGCTTCCCCCTGATACTTTTCATTGATCGTAAGAAAGGCGAAATAGCAAGAGCAAATGTGCTGCTAAACCCTAGAAACTGGTTTACTGCGAGGAAGCTCAAGTTCTTCGGTACTTCAGCTATTGTATTCTTCTCCCTTCTTTACCTGTTCTTTGAAATGTACGGATTTGAATTTTTGTATGAAAGTTATATCTACCATTCAGAAAGGGTAGATCACAGACATAACTTCTCTTTCAACTACTATTTCGAGTATTTCTATTATGATGAACTTCCAGAGAACAAATATTTGGTCAGAAAACTAGGATTTGTAGCACAATGGGGGCTAGTCTCTTATGTAGGTATCAGGTTCTATAACGATCTTACTTCAGCAGTCGCCTTGCAAACTTTCATCTTTGTAATGTTCAACAGAGTATGAACAGCTCAATATTTCTTATGGTACATGATTTTCATGCCTTTCATTGCAATAAAGTACAAGAAGTTGTTAGCATACCAATCTATCTTCTTGGTGCTTGTGATCATGTTACTAGGCAACTTAATGGTGAACCTTTCAAATGCTCCTTTAGAACTTCTTGGAATGCCTTCATATGATTACATCTTCGTGTCAACTCATTTATACCTAATAATAAACAGCTGACTCGCTTTTACAGCAATCAAAAACCTAGAGTTTACCGACACTAAATACTTTGATGAGATCGAAAAGGAGAAAATAAACTAAATTTCTCAAATAAAATTCCAAATTATACAATTTTTGCATTAAGTTTCCCAGTCTGACAAATCAGCCCACTTTTAATCTAAGCTCTTCACCAGACTTTAAGTTGTGTTTCCAAATTCCTCACTTGTTAAACCACCACTGTGGAAGAAGACAGAATTAATCAGATTAACTCTTGGGCTTCATCCTAGTGCTCTTCAGTTGTATTCTTTCAAGCAGAACTTAGAGTAATCAACACAGGCTGGATTAGAGGCTCGATGAAGGGTACTTATGCTAATGAGGTGAACAGGTATAGGGCCTGTGGCATGCCTGGTGAATTGAGAGCAAGCTCAGGGGTAGGAATAGAGGGTGGAGGGAGGTTAGTGCACAGATAAAGCCGTATTAGGTGATGTTTGGAGCTTGGATTTTGATCATTTTTTATTATAGTTGATATTGGGGTTTTGGGGTTTTGGGGTTTTGGGGTTTTGGGGTTTTGGG